GAATAGTAGTTCTTGAAGGTGGACACCAGCTTGAAGGGGACGTGGGGTGTTAGTGAGCAGGTCACTTGCCCATTGGCACCAGAGTCACGGTCGGACACGCTGATCAGGGCAATGACAGTTCCCACCTGAGCATCTTCTCGCACCGGGAGTGACAGAGAAGTGATAATCACCGTAGGTGAATTATCATTTTCATCCAGAACTTCCACTAGTACGGTGCAGTGACCAACCATAGGTGGGTTTCCTTTATCTGTAACATCTACATGAATTTCATAAGTGTTACTGTCCTCAAAGTCAATTGCATCATTTACTCTTATTTCTCCCGTTTTTTCGTTCATTAGAAATTTACTCCTTATGCTGGGTGGAACCAAAGCACTAAATGAATATATCATTTCCTTGTTTATTCCTTCATCTGCATCAGATGCATTTAGCCATATTACTAACGTTTGGTTCGCTGAATTTTCATACATCTTAACTTCATAAACGGATCTGTCAAATACAGGCTCATTATCATTGGCATCCAACACCAAGATCAGCAAAGTAACCGATCCAGTATATTCCGGTTTGCCTCCATCAGTTGCGGTTAATAACAATTGAAGCTGAGGATTTTCTTCACGATCCAGCATTTTTCTTAGAACAAGCACTGGGAATTTGCCTTTGTCTTTTTTGTTTATAGTATCAAGAATGAAAAACTCATTTGGACTGAGTCTATAGGTAAGCACTGCATTCTCTCCAACATCCGCATCAGATGCGCCTTCTAGCGGAAACCGAGAGTCAAGCAGTCGAGATTCGGGTATTGAAAGCTTTTGTTGTGAGACGGAGAAGATCGGCGGGTTGTCGTTAATGTCCTTCACCTCCACCTCCACATGGAAAACCTGCAGCGGCCTGTCCACGATCACCTCCAGGTGGATGCTACACTCCGCGCTCCGCCCGCACAGCTCCTCCCGGTCGATCCGAGAATTCACAAACAAAATGCCATTCTGCAGATTTACCTCCAGAAGGTCCCCGTGACCTGTGGACGCCACTCGGAAAAGGCGCGGTACGAGCTCCATCAGTTCCAGCCCCAAGTCCTGGGCGATGCGGCCCACGAAGGTGCCGTGTTTGGCCTCCTCCCGGACAGAATAGTGAAGCTGGCCGCTCCCCGCCTTCCAGGCTGCGGGAAGCAGAAGCAAGAGAAGCAGGCGCAAAGCTTTTGGGTTGCTGGGTGTGTAGACCAACATCGTATATTTCTGCCGATTTACAAATTGATGAATCAGCGGTCTAGAAGAAACATGTTCTCTGAATTTTCCTATTCGACTTCTTACATCTAATTTTGTCATAAATGGCTGAGGTCTGAGAACGTAGCTCCTTTCCAGTCCTTGAGAAACAGGGTTATGCCTTTGTTCTAAAAAACATTTTATGGAAGACAGCGACATCCGGTGGCTGAATGTGTAAGTACAATTCCGTGCGTTTAATTTGTCTTTCAGTCATAGCTTTTCATTCTATTTTGACGGATTTGTATCTCTAAAGATGTCCAAAAGTTCACATGATGTCTCTTTTGTATAAAACAATAATTACTGCATACTCCTAGTTCAGAGTCTCCTGAGTGGAGAACCTCAGAGAAGTAATTTTTTCCCCAGCAGTGATTATCATTAGCTATTTTGGAAAACAGTCTTAATATTTGTATATACTGATTATTAGTATTTTACTGGATGACAATTTTAGACCAGTTCAAGTTTTTTAAAGATCTGATTTATCTGAGAGCGAGAACGAGTGGCGGGGAGGAGCAGAGGGAGAGGGAGAAGCTGACTCCCCATTGAGCCAGAAGCCTGATGAGGGACTTGATCCCAGAACACTAGGATCATGACCTGAGCTGAAGGCAGGAGCCCCAAATATTTTCACGGTTTGATACTTAATTCACTTCTCTTTGTCATTATCTGAGATTAAATAAAATTTAGTAGGCATTAATCTGAAGAATCAATTCTCTAAATTGTTTAAAACTCCTAAATTTCAGTCATCACTAGTTGGTTGAGAGAAGATCACTGGCTTTAACATCAGAAATTTCTCCATTTTGGTTTCTGCTCTTATACTTACTAGTTGTGTGACCTGGGGAAAATAATTTTACCTCCCTTTCTCTTTTCAGTTTTATAACATTCATACAATAATAATATGGTGGTTGTATGAATTATGATACATTAAATGCCTAGGATTGTACCTTAAGGGGAGTGAGTGGTTCATAAATGGCAATATTCTCAGGCCTCAATTTAGCCACATTTATTTTCATATTGTGTCAAGACCACAATAAGCTTTTTTTTTTTAAGATTTTATTTATTTATTTGACAGAGAGAGATCACAAGTAGGCAGAGAGGCAGGCAGAGAGAGAGGGAAGCAGACTCCCCGCAGAGCAGAGAGCCCGATGCGGGGCTCGATCCCAGGACCCTGAGATCATGACCTGAGCCGAAGGCAGAGGCTTTAACCCACTGAGCCACCCAGGCGCCCCACACAATAAGCTTTTTGGTAAAAAAAATTATTACCTGTAGAATATTATAACTGTGCAATGCCTTTACTGTTACTACTGCACAGGCTGACTGGTGGTTCTGGTCTTTAGGAAAACAGAAAAGTACTTTTAGTGAGAAATCAGTTACACAGGGAGAAGTTTCACTTTCGATATGCATCTTACATGGGCAAAATAACCTTAATTGTGATTCTAAATAAAATAATTCAAAAATGTATGATTTCCACTTGCAGAGACAAGTGCTTTCACCTTTGTTATATTTAATCTTTTCAAGGATCCCAATTATGGTTTTGGAATTATCTAATAGTTCTATCAGTGTCAATAAAGTTCTTCATCACTACCTGCAGTAAAAATATTTTGTTTCTCAAAGTTCTTGGAATCAAATATGCCTCAACTGAAATTCTCTTTTAATATATCTACACTACTGAAAAAAAAGAGAGAAAATTCTCTTTTCCCAAGAAGGGAAAACTTAATAATAGGAACTTTGGTCTTATCCAAAGGTTAATTTATTTACTTTAATGATGTTGTGATTTATAAAAGAGATAAAAATTATGAATTCTTTCAGTTGTTATTAAGAGCTGAAAAATAGAGCAACATTTATGAACAAGAAAATTGACAGGCTTGAGTCATTTAATTCATTGATTAATCTGCTCTACTAAATTTTTTATACTTTTCTACTGCTTTATATTGATCTTAGTTAAAGTCCATTTAAATTCTCATTTTAAGGGTATTTTTCTTGTAAAGTATGAATTAAAGTTGTGGATCCATCCACAATACCAATCAATGTTTAGTCTAAGTTATTATCTGGAATCTAATAAGTTTATCAGTGAATAATCATCTTAACACAAGGTAATGATATAAACTAAACTCCATTCCTGTTAATGTGCATTGTATAGCAAGTAATAACATAAAGGCACCAATTAAGTCTTCAATAACGAATAGAAAGTAGTGGATAGTGAAATTATATCCTCTCAAATAATAAGAACTTGGTTTGCCAAGCATATCATAGAGCTATTGGATCTAAAGCTTTAGTTGAATAACAACCATCTAGAGTTGTCATTAAAATGCAAATTTGCCAGTCCTAATTATTTCAGAAATTTGGGATGGAATCTGGGAACCAGAGTGTTTAATAAGAACTTCAGATGTTGCTAATGCACTTAGCATTATTAGGTCTAGGTATAGGATAGGCTGACCATAGGCCACAAGTTACCTGGGAAATACTCCATTTATGCCTGTGGTCTTTCTTGTCTATTCATTTATAAAGTCCCTCACTCTTAAGTGTCTAAGATTGGGTGAGAACTTAGATAGTTAGCCCTATATAAAAACTACAGTTTAAGGACTGGCATAGGGAAGTTTCATTATTGGCTTCATGATTGCTCCTTGAATTGAAGAGTTTTAACCACAGAAACACAGAGAGCTAGCTGCTGAGCAAAATACCGGAGTGTCTTCCATGCTCTCACCCCTCTATTTTGACTTTCCAAGCTGTTTTAAGTCCTAACATCTCTCGATTACAGTGTGCTCATGCTTCCTGATGATGTAAAAGGTAAATTCATTGCTAGATGTTCACTGATCTTCTGAAAATTTGCATATGATGATAGCCCATATTCAGGAGAAAACAAGTATTAAGGACAAAATTACGAATTATATCAATACAGCCATCAATAATAAAGAATAAAATGTATAATTATAGAAGACATAGTAAATAATAAATCATACTAGCTCTAAGAGACTAACGGAGTGGGGGAGGGTGGTTGAATTTCTAGCACTCTTCAATCCATAAATCCACATAACATATAATCAAATACCTGGGCCCAATACATTTAATTCTTTGATTCATCTATCCTGATAAATTGTTTTTATACTTCTCTACTTCTTTAGACTGATCTTAGGTTAAAGTCCATTCAAATTCTGATTCAGTTGCTCTTGCACATGAAAAAGTGCAAGGACAAAGATATTTGATTTAAGGTGAAATATGCTGACAGACATAGACAGGATTGATCACAGGAGTTGAGAATACTCAAATTTTGAAAAGAAATACAATGCAAAAGGGGCGCCTGGGTGGCTTAGTCCTTAGGTGTCTGCCTTCGCTCAGGTCATGATCCTAGGGTCCTGGGATGGAGTCCGGCATCCTGCTCCCTGCTTGTTGGGGAGCCTGCTTCTCCCTCTACCTGCTGCTCCCCCTGCATGTGTGTGTGTGTGTGTGTGTGTGTGTGCGCGCGCGCGCTCTCTCCCTCTCTCTGACAAATAAATAAATCTTTTAAATAAATAAATTATATATATATATATATAATGAAAAGAAAATAAACTGCTTTGTAACATATGCCAAACATGTCCTCTAAAAGGGAAAAGAAAATATCATTGAAACATATTATTTAAGTGAATTTTACTTGCACTTTCATGGTTTTATTGTGGCTCTATTCTCAAAGCTACTCTGATTTTGCTCTCCTGAGTTTTTAATTAAGGAATATCTTCTTAAAAATCTAACACAATAAAAAATACTGGAATAGAAAAATAAGTCATGTAACAAAACTCAACATAAGTACATATGAAGTTTCTAAAATATTAATCAGAAAACAAAAACTTGGACTAAACACAGTATGAAGAACCACCAATCTGAAAGTCACATGCCACAATTCAGGAAATATAAATTTAATACATAATGAGTTTAAAGGTGCAATTGATCATCTCCAGATTTCTGTCTTTCAGAATATTGAGAGAAATTATCATCTCCCCTGATAGGGGTAACTTTTTAAAGTTATAGAGTAAATTTCAAGAGAATTCAAAGTTTAGAATGTACATATATCTGTAATGCACAAACATGTATGTATACTAACAAAAATTTCAGTAAAAGTAAAAACTCTTTTGAAAAAAGAAAGTACCTCAAGGAAGGATTTTTTCCAATATCAGATAAAAGATTAATTTCAAGAAATTTTCTAAATGCAAAAAAGATTATCAATCAATATACCATAATATTCTCAACCAATTATATAGAAACATATTTTACAAAAGTTGAAATGAGAGTTATATTTCTAGCATTTGTTGTCAGAATTAGACTCCTAAGGTAAAGTAACTGTTTTCTAGGGTATACTGAAATTTATTCATTGAAATAATAAACATTGAGTAGTGCTGACCAACCATGCCTCTAGTCGCCATCCAGAGAAAGGTAGAAAAGTACAGTTATGTATTTCCACTTTGGGTTTCTTTTAGACAATAGATTATATACTAAAGTATCGTGCAAACTTTAGAAATGAGAGGCATCTGGATGGCTCAGTCAGTTAAGCATTTAAGGGTATGCCTTCTGCTCCAGTCAGGATCCCAGGTTCCTGAGATCCAGCTCCCATATCCCAGCTCCCCACGGAGTCTACTCCTCCATCTCCCTCTGCCCCTCCCCTCTCTAGTGTTTGTGCACACAGTCTCTTTCAAATAAATAAATAAGATTTTCTTTTTAAAGAAATGAATAAATGATGGACTGGTGTTGAAGTATACTTAATGTGTAGCAATTAAGTTGCTTTTCACTGAATAGTTTTCAGGTACAGTGGCAGCACGGCTTTAGGAATTCAATATGACTCTCATGACAGGTTTTAAATGAAATTGATTCCATCACCCACTAAATATTACTCAATGTGTGGTTTATAATGATTCATAATTGGAAGTCAAAATACAAAAGGCAGGTATAAACTTAAAGTATTCAACTTCTGAATAATAAATAAGAAAATATTTGCAGATCTCTAGAATAAATGAGTAAAAACTATTCAGAAGACCCGTCTGCAAATAAGAATGGCTTTCACACTTCAAAAATAAATATATAAATGAATAAAATATTTGAGTAACCCACCTCTC